AAGAACATGTGGATCTATACATTCACCCCCCACACACCATCATGGCGTAGTGCTTAATTATTTAAGCACAGGGAAAACTTTACCTTTATCTAATCCTTCCAGCCGCATTATGGTCCTGGGGTCGACTCACAACGTCACCGCCATCTGTGAGCCGCCTGTCTAGAAAGCGTGTGACCTTAACGTCTCATAACCCTATGGACCTCCACGGCCTGTTAGAGGGATACATTTTTTTTAATATTCTAGTATGTAGGCCCGTTGCTAGCCAACAGTAGTGAAATAAGCAGTTATACAACAGCCGTTGCCAGGCAATGGCTCTTTAAACAACGGCCATTCCTAGGTAATGGGCGCAACAGTTTTGTAACACAGAACAATGTAGTGACTGGGAAGTCGTTTTCTCTGCGCGGTCCATGAGATAGCTACGTGAGGCGGGGTCCAATGCCTCCACTGTGACCCTGTGAGTCGTAGGAGGCGACGAAAAGGAAACTCAAATCTGAGAGAATAAAATACGGTCATGAGTCCCAGCAGCTTAAAAAGAGACCTGTCCTCTCATCAGAGAGGGCGCCCCACAAAAACAAGACCGTAGCTGTCAAAATGTAATAAATATCTGTTCATGAGCCCCAAATGGGGCCTGACACCAAGACTTACTGATTGACAATCAGTCGCAATGTGACTCTGACTTTGACTTGAGAAAGGCCAAGGAGTCTGATGCCAAGACGAACTGACTGGCAGTAAACCGACAGTCACAGAGTAACTTTAACGCTGACTCTGACTTTGAAAGGCCATGCATATTCATATGAGACAAACCCATCTTCTCATCTGAGAGGATGTTACATAAGGACTATTACCACAAGAATTCAGTTGGGGGGGACTCTGGTTGTGAGTCTTAAGGGGCTAGACACAAAGAGGAACTGACTGGCGGTAAACCACCGGTCGTAAAGTAACTCTGACTCCGACTTACAAGAGAGCCTTCAGATGACAGAGAGCTAGGAGTTAGTTGTGAGACAGTCGCTGGCCAGTAAGAATCTGAACGCAGAAGCAGAGGAAGCTACGGCATTTGAAGCCATTACCAGGCGACAACTGGTGAAGATACAACAGAATGAGAAGACTTAGTGAGTGCTGTAGTGAATTGTAAAGTGTGTGAATTAGTGATAGCGCTATAGTTGTTTGTAGTTACGTTCTGTAAGCATGCAATAAATCAAATTACCAATCCAAACCCCATCTAGTCACTCATATAACTGACAATATTGTTCATACGGAGTGTCACGGTGTCAACAAGTACTCAGGAAGAGAAACACAACAAGGAAACATGTGAAGTGGACAGGGCGTGTTCAGCACTGCACATTCATGTAAAAAATTCAATATCTACAGCCTTTGCAAAATAACTACAATGCTCACCAACAGATAAAAACCAAACCATTATAGTACATAGTACAGTGTGTAACACACTGGTAGATCCTGTAGGTTTACATGGGAAATTTACACTAAATACATGATACAATAATTGTAATTAAAAACTGGACCTGATGATGGCACACGTGCCGAAACATGCCATCCTAGAAAGCAACTCCACCTGCTGGACAGGAGTATAAGGATGAGTGCAGGAGTTCCAGCATGTTAGTGAAGTGGAAGTAGATGGTCCATATGCAGTTGGTTTTCCTTCATCTCTGCAGTCCCCTTAGAGCCAGGTAGGGGCTGATCCACAATGCATAAATTAATTTCTTGGGGCACACTGTCTAGAAAATTTGCTTAGCATTCAAAATGACTATAACCACCTTCAACCAAACTTGTGAATCATGAGTAAGTTCTCACTTCATTCTTCTGCAACATAACCTCTGCAGCTCAGAAATATCACTGTTAGGTAACTCAAGTATCCTCATCGGACTGCCAGTGCTGGATGTACAAGAAAATGATGACAACAATAACGATGATGATGATAATGATAACAACAACAATAACAATAATAATAATGTGTAAGATCTTGGGTTCTCACAGTGATGGCTACTAAGATTATGATCATCTGGTATGTGGCCTTGTACCGCTAAAAGTAAAGTTGTACCTGTGTTTAAGATCTAAGCCATGAAAACATAGGGCTGGGTGCGGAGAGAAATGTTAGGTGGGGGAACTGGTAAATTTGGGGAAGGAGTTACAGCTTACTATATGTGCACAAAGCCAACTAATGTCTCTGGTCTGACACAGCAAAATGTCAGGCATCCTTAACTTCAGCACTAACAGACCCAAACAGTCAGCTTCACCTTCATGCCCTAAGAGAAAAGGACCTTGCACCAAATGAGTGAATTCCAAGTAGGGAAATGAACCCCTGTCACTAGCTATCCCAAACTCAAACACTAATCTTTCTCTCCATTCTGGGAGTAAATGCCCACAGTTCTTCACCCACACCTTGATGGCTTTCCACAACATAACCTAAAACTGGGGTGGTGGGATTCTTTAAGCAAGATCTGCCATTCATAACTTAATTCACCCTTCTTAGGATCATACATTTCCCTTATCACTCTGTTTTCAAATTGAACAAACATGTTCTTACCCCACTCCAGTAGAGTACAAAACAAAACTTATCATTCTGTATACAGCATCATAATATTCGGCGTTTCTGAACTGTGTAGTAAGAGTTTTATCAATAATCACCTGGAGGAACTGAGGAAAATCAGGTAAAATATCCAGATAGCACATCTCTAATATGAATTCAGACCCTCTCAAACGCAATGACATTCATTTCACTGTACTTTTTTTGGAGAATCTACCAGTCACTCAGCTATTAAAAAATTTCACAACATTTTTATGGAACTCAAATTTTCGCTGCTGTGTTCACAAGAGCCCTCCAATGGTCCCTATCCTGAGCCAGATCAATTCAGTATATACCACCCCATTCTATTTTTCCAAGACCTGTTTCAATATTATCCTTTCACCTACATCTAGGTTTTCCAAGGGGTCTGTTTTGTTCTGGCTTTACCCACAAAAACCCCATATGCAGACCTCATCCCCATGCATGCTATATGACCTGCCAATCTCATCCTCCTTTACTTCAGTATTCTAATTATATTTGGTGAAAAGTACAAGTTATGAGGTTCCTCATTATGCAATTTTCTCTAATCTCCTATTATTCCATTCTTCTTTGCTCTAAATATTCTCCTTAGCATGGAGTTAAATACCTTCAGTCTGTGTTCTCCCCTTAATGTCAGAGACTATGTGTCACACCCATACAAACCACAGGCAATATTATAGTTTACTATATTTTAATTTTTACAATTTTAGACAACAAGACAAAAGGTTCTGAACTAAATGGTAGTAAACATTACCCAGATTCAATCCATTCTTAATTTTCTCATGAATCAAACATTGAATTGTTACTGTTGTTCCCAAATATTTGAACTTTGCCACATTTTCAAAGGATCTGCTAACTATCTTCAGGTTATGAATTAGTCTTGCAGTCTGGTGATGAGACAGCAACATACATATACACAGTTTTCTCTGTTTACTTCTAGACCAAGCTCCTTACCAGCATCAGTCAGGGCTTCAATGTTTTTCTTTATAGTATCTATGTTACTTCCCAATACATTTACATCATCAGCACAGACGAGCAGGTCCAATAAATGCTGGAATAATAAGACACTGGAGAAAACTGCATCATGAGGAACCTCATAACTTGTACATCCTAAAGGGTTCTGATGCTGGTGTATAACACCAGTAATTGTGCCTCATAACTTGAACTTTTTGCCAAATATAATTAGAATGGCGAAGTTAAGGAGGATGAGATCAGTAGACCATGTACATGCATGGGGATTGTATATGGGGTTTTTGTGGGGAAAGCCAGAACAAAGCAGACCCCCTTGGAAGCCTTAGCTGTAGGTGGAAGGATAATATTAAAACGGACCTCAGAAAAAGAGAATGGGGTGGTATGTACTGAACTGAGCTGGCTAGGGATATGGACCACTGGAGGGCTCTTGTGAACACGGCAGTGAACCGTTGAGTTCCATAAAATATTGGAAAATTCTCTAGTAGCTGAGGGCCTGGTGGGGTCTCAAAAAGGGCTCAGATCCATGGAGTTATGTAGTTTATAGGTAATTTGGTTCATTACCTAAAATGGTGTTGCAGTTCAAGTAATTTGTTATCCTTTTATACATAACTTTCATGCTTATTAAAACAGGAGAGAAACTGGTCGTTTATTTCAGATACAAGACTGTCCTCTATTCTTATGCAGAGGTTTTGTAACTGACCAGTTAGTCTTCAAAAATTCCTGTAGACAATGAACAATTATAAACCTTTAATATCAGTTTTAAAGTATGAAATTACAGGGTTGACTTCAGCACCTCTAGCGGCATTTTAAAGTTTATATCATGAAGGCATGTGTAAGAGTACCGAAGTTCTGTTGTGATAATGTTACAGCAATTATCATAACCTTATTTCTTCAGTGATATTTGCTGCGCTATTTTCTTAAAATTAATTCTAGGCACTAGGATTACGACTTATAGCTGCATAGTTCCTAAGTGTAAATAAAAAACTTCACTTTTACACGATTCACAATAACATTTTAACGGAGCAACATGAGTAACAGGTAAAAAATTTTCCACCATAAGGACTCTTAAACGAATAACTGGATTTACCATTTGCTGATAATATCACAAGAGATGTCTGTTAATTAAGGCTCCAACACATTTAAATACCAGCTCCTTACCTGATTATTCACAAATCTTTGCCACTAACGTCAAATGTGCTTAAATACACGCAACTCCTGCGATAACCAACCACTACATACACCATGCCTACCAACCGTTTTATATGCAAAGATGAGTGGGACATTTCAAGAGTAGTGGTGGGACTGCTTCTATGAAAAATCGTGGCTCAATTCTGGGGTATTAACGTTCAAAATCCCTTTTCAGAGTACCACAGTATGATCGCTAAATTTTTCATACTACTCTCGGCCTGCACCAACGAACTGCCTTGCTTTCAATTCAAAGTTTGGCGCATCTACATATTAGAAATATTCCGATTGGCCACAGAAGGAAGCTTGAAACGCTGGAAATTTGAACCGAAATCATTCAAAAGTGTCTCCATGGCGTGATTAAGACGTACAGAACGTTTGATTGTAACTAAAGGAAGAGTAAGTAACTGTAAGCAAGTCACAATGAAGGAACTCAATTTCAAATTGGTTTACAGTGGCAGAATTGTACATATCCTGGCACATTAGCTACTGGTCGTCCATCTGTCAAATATACAATGAAACAAACGGTTTTAGCAGTTACATTGTATGTTTAGTGTAAGAACGTTGATAGTAGACTTGTTGCGGGAGTTTCTGTTTTCGTATTTAATTTGAAAATGAAAAATTAATTTGTTTAACACAGAATCTTTTTTTTTTTTTGCACAGTGGCAGTCAACTGGACATTTTATTTCGATTATGACACAGCCCTAAATGCTAAGCAAAGTATATTTAGAAATAATTTCGAAGTTCACATACTTACAATTTTTAATCAGTGTATTGCATTAGGATTGTTACTGACACCTCTTGATATCCTGAATTAGTTTTTAGTTTGTTAAATTTCATTCTGGATTTTCCAGATCCAGAAATGTGGGATGTAACACCTGAAACCGTGCTGTTTTAACTTCAATCACCCAAGAAGGTATAGTAATGAGTATGGTGTTTGTCAGTGGTGAGAAATAGAAACATCTGTGTCCTAAGTGAAGGTTTGAACGAGTAACTGTATAAGCCGAGGCCATAAACACTGTTATGTGAACTGCGGGTGACTGAAGTCTCATATTTGAATTTGCAATTCATAATGGATCTGCTTTGATGGTTTCCAGTTACCTATCAACTAGCATGCATGAAACAGCCTCTGTTCACCAATCAGATTTGCATTATTGCATGGTCTTTATGATAAATATGACTGAGACTGCTCTAGTTCATGATATGTAAGTTTGACAAAACTTAAGGCATTTACCTTGCTCTTATGCCTTGTTTCTGATGGATTCTACTCACATAATTTTGCTTAAATTGTTAGGTTGGTTTTTAAAATATGGCAACTTGGCATATACTGGGAGCATTACAGTCAGAACAGAAGTAATTCAAAATTGGAGACATCTGTCACCATCATGGATGGTAACAAGTGAAACCAACTGAAATGAATCAGATATGCCACACCTAGGAGTCTGTAGGGCTAGAAAAATACTTTAGAAGAAACGTAAATATATAACTGAACCTACCAGGTATCCCTCTTCAGCTTCAACTCAGGTTGGATTGTTACAGTTATCTACGTACATCCTACTTTCTCCCTTCTTGAAAGAACTGTTAAAGATGCCTGCTGAAATTATTCATTATGGTCACAGCATCTGACTATGGCTACAATGCATGTAATAAACTTTGAATCACTATGGTTTAAAATTACAAATTTTCAGACCCTTACTTGGATTGTGCTGTTGACATTGTACAATAACTTTGTATTATTAACGTGTTAATTAGTTTGCTATTACAAATATTTTCACAGAGTTCATGGGGTTTCATATGACAGAGTTTGAGTAAAAAATTGACTATGGCATAGCATCATCTGAGTTTTGGACTTTTCTAACTCCAGTTTTGGGCAAAAATGAGATAATGCACTTTTATGATTGTATATATTGTGTTGTGCTATGTCCATATGCTTCCTTACCTTACATGCAAATTTGATGTAGTGGAATGTTTTTGTTTTAAGGTACATTTAAACTGCATTTCAGACTAACTTAAAACTTAGTTTCCCTGTGATTGGTGTTGATGGACATGGTACAATTTAGTAATCAGGCGACAATATACTGAAGAATGTTCTGTATGGAAATGTTAAATGCATTATTAATTTACAGTTAAATTATTTTGAAAACTGAAAATTACACACTGATGAAAGACCTATAACAAATTGCCTAACAACATAAAACAAATAGGTAACAACAGCCAGTTTAAAAAAGGAAGGGAAGAGCTTAATTTATTAAGGGATTCTATTGTTCAATAGAAGATTATTTCAAAGAAGAATACTGTAATATTGGATACCAATAAGTAGATGTGTAGAATAAGCTATACAGTAGAACTTGGTTATAACGTCATCAAAGGGACCTAAAAATAGTGTCGTTATAAACGAATGTCGTTGTAACCGAAATGGGCACTTCCACAGTAGCCTTATGTTAGTCACGTAAAAATCTACCAAAAACCGAGTTAAAATGTTGCATTTTTTAGTGAAATACGTAGTTAAGTACAGACTAACGTAACATTAACGTGGAATTGCCCAAATGTGTAATATCAAAGACATATTACAGCGCTTTTCACTGACAATACACACAATATTTCACGAATCACTTTAACTTTCTCTTCAATGCTTAAAACTTTCCTTTTCATTGCCATGTTTTCGCTACTGCACTTCTCTGGGTTTAGGCAGGAACACTATAGGGTAAGTAGACAATGTGAGGTCCTGTTAGACGAGATTCTAGGAAAGGAATGCAGTTAACAACCTGCCGCGTCCTCTTGCACTATTCACGCAGTCCCACCCCACACCCTTGTTTTCGCATAAAACCCACGCTCCTCTTGCAGCCCGCGGTCGTATTCTTCCAGGACAGTCACGTCAGCAAGTAGAGAAAGTGAGGGTGGGCAGACACATCGAACTTTCCCACGATATCAGAGAAATTCAGGAATGAAAATGACGTTACATACGAGGTTGATGCATTTGTGCATGTCGTACTAAGCAAGGTATAAAAACATTTGCTTTATGAGGAATTAGTTCGTACCATTGAATATTTGACGCAATAGACAAGGTGTCGCAGAAACCGATGTTGCTATAACCAAGTTTTACTGTATTTCTAAAAAGTTTATACCATAATCAGTGTATTTTGATAACATAGATGGACATGTCCTATATCATATATTTTGAGCTACAGGATAAAATAAAAATTAATGAACCTATATCATTGTATTTTGAAAATGTTATATTTTAGCGTCCTGTTGCACTGATTTATGTCCATGATTTATTCCAGCCGTCTTACAGTGCATACACTCATCCACTTCACTCTTCACTCCTGCACTACATGTTTCGGCACAAAGGTGCCATCTTCAGGTGCTTTTCGATTTACGTTAGTGAAGTAATTTAACGTAAATCGAAAAGCACCTGAAGATGGCACCTTTGTGCCGAAACATGTAGTGCAGGAGTGAAGAGTGAGGTGGATGAGTGTATGCACTGTAAGACGGCTGGAATAAATCATGGTCATTGTACATTGTACATCATTTGAGCTACAGAATAAAATAAAAATGAATGAGCCCCCAAAATAGCAATTTGTATTAGTTTGAAATTGTGTTTGCAGATGGAAGAGTATACACCTGTACATCAAGTGCATATAATGGGGGAGACACCATTGCACACTGATGACAGTGGCTACCTCACAACTACTCCAAGTTCAGCTGAAAGCTTGAATTCTGTGCCATCGAGCAACAGGAAGCTGTCACATGGATGTAAATACAGATGTAGGAATTGTGCTGCATTAACCCCTGGCACACTGTTGTCACACACGCCAAGTGTGTGTTGTCATGGAGCACTTCTTTCAGCACACAAGAAAAAGAAAGCCTCATTAGGGAGGCTTAAGTTGCTACACAGGAATGTTTCATTACTCTCAAGCACAGAAGGAGTAAAGGACTCACCTTCTGGTTATAGTGAATTGCAGTCACAAAGCAAAAGTGAGCTGTTGATAAGCAATGATTTTGATGATTTATCGCTGGTAGAAAATTCCTTTGATTCAGAAGAAAATGGCATACTTGATGATAGTGCTACATTGTATGAAAAAATGGAAGTGGATGGAAATGAGTCAGAATGGAAAGCTGACAGTCATAGGGATAATATGGATAATACAGATAATATGGGACAGATATCAGTCAGAAAGTCAGAAACTGAATATCATGCAACTCACATGCTAGTACCACATGAAGGGTGTAGACAGGACAGTGAAACTGGCAGTCAGGAGATGGTGAACCTTTACCATTCACAGGAAAGGGATTCATCTGTTGAAGACCATGATTTGATAATTAATAAACATGACAACTTGACTAGAAGAGATCTTTCACGAGATCTACCGACAAAATGCCAAAAATTTGAAGAGGCTACTGAACGTCACATTCAGTTCCCCCTAAAGTATTCTAGTCAGCAACTTCTATGTCAAATAGGGCGGGAGAAAGTTGATTTTCTCTACCTCCTCAGTGAAAAGAGTGATCACCATATTGTAGTGAAAGACATACTCAGCTACTTGGAGCCTGTGGATCTGACTGCAGTAGCAGTGGTTTCCAAGACATGGAACAGAGTCTGTAAATCCGACAGTGCTTCCCGCAGACGTATACGTAAATACCTGAAGAAAAAGCGACAGAACAAGGAAAATAATATACTGCGGGTATGTAGAGAATGTCTAACTTGAAAATGCCTATATTGCTTACAGTGTTACATTTTACTTTCTTACATCACAGGTGAACGAGTTACATCAACAGCTGCACACCACACAGACTGGCACAGCAGTAATGCTCTTAACTTTTGTTTGAGAGGTGCTCAGTTTGAATCTCATTTGGCATGCTGGAAATTCTGATTAGTTTTGTTTGTGGCTTTCCTCAGTCCCTTCAGGCAAATGCCAGGGTAGTACCATTATGTAACCATGATCAGTTCCTTCCAAATTCTCTGCAATTAATCCTTCATTCTGTCATTCAGCTCTGCATATCCTAGCTACTGGCAGTGCTATAAAATAACTCTCAAAAACAAACAGCTGCTCCCGATCATCTTAAATTTAATTTCTAAATATTTGTAGATTTCTTAGCATTCTGAATTAGTTGCTGCACTTTTTGTATGTAGATTTGCTGGGCTAAATAGTAGGAAGGAGTGCTGTTCTGGTTGAGGTAATGGAACTCTATGACGGCCATACAGAATGTAGTGAGCAGCATCAGTTTATGTATATTCTGTTGGCATCGAGAGACTAAGGGTCATATGGCCAGTAGCTGTATCTGTTTCTGCAATCTGATATATAGGTCCAGCACTTATGCACCAATACTTATCTGTGGTCCACTGCAACAGAATGGCTGTAAGTGATGTATTGTTTCACCAGAGTGCTGTAATTGAATTTCTCATAAAGGAGAACAGTGCTGCTGCAGACATCTCTGATCGACTTCATCGGGTCTATGGAGATTCCTGTGTGGATGCCAGCACTGTGTGACAATGGGTGAAACACTTCCAAAATGACAAGAGGGACATTGCCAATCTTCCTTGCAGCAGTTAACCAAAAACTGCCACCATGGAATGCAATCAGTAGAATAATATTACACTGTTGCATCCTGTTTCACTGCATATTCTAACTTCGTGCTCTCACTCCTCGCCATCTTTGTGCAACTTTGTTGATACATTAACCTTTAAACGACTAAAGACAATGTATGTCGTCGCAGATAGTAAAGGCAGCGGTACGAATGACGCCATGTGGTGTCGCAAAGTCCGCGCGTGCGGACGTTATTTGAAATACATTTTTAAGGTAGAAAATAATGTCCTACTTATATAATTTTTGGCCACCATCTGCATGGAGTGTCTGTCTTCCCACCTGCGTCATCTGCCGGAATGTTGCCTTCGTGTGGAATTCTCAAAAAATCCGGAAATGCAGAGTCCGATTTCGCAATTCACGCACTTTGTCCGGGCGGTCTTTCGTGTCCCACGCGAAAAGCACACACGACACCTCAATTGCGAAGTAGAGCAAGTCGGCCAGTGATGTGGTTTGGCCTTCTATAGTCGAGATATCTCCCATAAAACGGCAGGGGTTCGACCCCTGGCCGTTGATGGCGAGGTGGACCCCTAACAGCATGTTCCGCAAAAGAGCGAGACGAAATTCTCAGTGTGACAACAGGATGTAACTGTTCAGACCAAGGAGATGGAAAAATAGCTTATTTGTCCATTTCCAGGTTCGACAACAGATGCTATAACTGTTTGGCACAGTTTGCCCACAGCTCCACCTGAATAATTATTCACACTCCTCGTGCCACGCTGGTGTGGTGGTCCCCAGGTTGCCGACGAATAGCTAGACAGAACACTTCCAGTTACGAACCAAGCACTCAGTGTAATGAAACTGTATAAAGAAATGTAATCTTAGTGTGCAGCCGAGCCATTCGCCCACTCTTCATTCCACAAGAATTACGTCATGGTACGATCACACTTTGAAATTACGCTCGACTGAACGCTTCCAGCCACGAAGCTATTACGGTGTGTGTTCATACAGTAACACGATTTCATAAAACAAACGCTAGCCTTCAACTCTACAAGAACAGTACACGTATTGTTTAGAAGAACTCTATATGCAACAACATGTGACTTTATATCATTCGTCCACTGTCCACATTCTAGTAGTAGCCAACGATAAACTCTAGACTCAACATCCGGTGTTACCGTGACTTGCACAAGTGTCGTCATCAGCAACTTGCATTCAGGGGTATCCAGAACGTATGAATTCTTGCACAGAAACAAGAAACTGGGAAAATTCTTCTTTGGAGTCAGTGCAAAAATTTTAACATGTTTTATACAATCTGTAAATTACAATATCTGATTCTATATTCTTTAGAGAAAAAAACAGCGTTTATTTCGTTCGTTTATCACAGAAATTGCAGAAATAGGAGCAAATTTAGTGACTACAGTTTTTACGGATTTCTAATCGCGGGTATTTAAATATATTCCGTACGGCTGCCTTTACCGGAATTTAAATGCCCGTATGATAAGCGTTAATAGTCACACTTCGACATCTTTGTCTCTTCTCATTATACAACACAACATATTTCGGCCTAACTGGTCATCATCAGGTGTATAATATGTCGGGTTAAAGGAACCTTCTACTCTGTTATCACTCTGTTCTTCTTTTCGTTTTAATGTGAAATGATTCTAAAATTTAAACAAATATTACAAATGAACAAAACAGATGGATTAGCTATGGGTGCTCCTACATCAGCAAAATATTAGCTGAAACATATGTTAAGAACTTAGAACACAAAAAAATATATCCAATATTAATGAAACACCAAATAATTGGTACTTTAGATATGTGGATGACTTCTTTTGATGTATGCCCAAAGGAAAACAAACAGATGAAACATTGGCTGAATTCAATGAACAACAACTCACTATAAAATTTAATATAGAAGAGGAATTACACAACTCCATTAACTTTCTTGATCTTTCAATATACCATAAGGAAAAAGAGATTAAATTTACAATATACAGAAAATCCACTCAAACAGATATCACAAAACCCAATGACTCCTGCCATCCACATGAACATATTATAACAGGTATGAACTACTTAATAAACAGATTAAACATGTATCCAACATCTAAAGAAGCAAAAAAAAAAGAACTAAACCAATAAATATTGTCACGAATTTATAGAGTGACTATATATGGGGTTTGGATTGGTAATTGGATTTATTGAGCACTTACAGATCGTAACTACAAGGAACTATAGCGCTATCATCAATTCACATAATCAGCAGTTCACTACAGCACACACTAAGCCTTCTCAGTCTGCTGTGTCTTCACCAGTTATATGGTTATGTCTTCTAATGCTGTAGCTTGCTCAGCTTCCATGTTCATGCCACTACTGGCCAGCGACTCTAAACTCTAGACTTGTCCTTCTTATAACACCTCAGCATGGACGACATAGAAAACAGCTTTCCCAGCAGTTGTATCATTGCATCACACAGCTGTTGCATGGACTGTGTAGAGAACACTGTTTCCCAATTACTCTATTGGTGTATGTGGCCATTACCTAAGAGCGGCCATTGTTTACAGACTTATTACTTAGCAATGGGTCTACATGTTACAATATAATATAAACAAAATCATAAAACAGTCAGTTCCACAAAAGCAAAATACTGACACTAACCCACAACACTGGAAAACAAAATGGCCCACTTTCACATACATCGGAAAAGAAACAAGAAAAATCACAAAATTATTCACGGACACACAAATAAAAATAGCATTTAAAACACAGTACACAATGCAAAATATAGTGAATCAACATCCACATACAGACAAATACAACAAAAGTGGCAATGAAATGCTTAGACTGAGGACAAACAGGCAGAGCATTCTGCACCAGGTACAAAGAACATACACAAGCACTTAGAAATAATAATTGTAATTTAGGATACTCAAACCATATATTAAACACGGGACATGCATGCAGGATCATTACAGATACTATGAACATTATGAGAACATGTAGAAAAGAAAAACTTTTAAACACTGGAAAAATACCACATATACAATATCAGCAAAAATAACTTGCAGATAGATGATACAAACATACACGCATAACCCAATATTCAGAGCACTGCAGGAAACGAACACTAGTTAGTAGCATACATGCCCTACATCACGTTTAAAAAGAGAGCAACTACAAAGAAATGCTCAGAACCAACACAACAAAATGCAAGTAACATCACAGCTGTGGAGATAGAACAACACAATATAACATAAAATATCTATCTTATAAACAAAACACTAATATAACCCATTACATATTACAGATACACCAGACATGTGCATAATAATAGCATGATAATCTAAAAATAACATAAAAATATTTTAGAAGCATTTTACATAAAAATTAAAAGCAGAACAGCAGTTTCCTTTAATCAAACATCTTATACACCTGATGATAGCCAGTTAGGCCGAAACATGTAGTGCTGTATAATGAGAAGAGAATATTGAATTGACAAAGTTGCACAAAGATGGCAAGAAGTGAGAACATGAAGTTACAATTACTAGAAAGTTGATGCATCCATTACAGAAGACAAAAGGGAGATTGTTAGGGAAATTGCATTGGACATAGCGCCATGCAGGAGGCGATAAAGACTGCAAACTTTGTTCCTGCTGGGTTACCTGTCTGCCGATGGATGAGCACAGAAGTGTACATGTGCATGCGTCTTTGTAGTTGCTTCAGTGACTTGTTGCCAAGGGTGATGATTTCCTGCTGAACATCGTGACTGCAGTTTGCTACATTCAGATGCTCCAGAAACTGTGATATACACTTCATGACAATATTCTTCACTAAATATATTCATGACTTTCATTGTGGTCTGCATGTCTGTACCAAGTAATGCACTGGAATTCCATAGATTTTCACAGCTCTCTTCAAATTAAAGGAATATATGTCATGTCTAACCAGTTGATTTAAGAACTGTTATTCTACAACACATGCTTATGCATACATATACATGTTTAAACAAAGGAATATGCCAAGTGAAATTAATATTAAATGTGATAATTAAAACCAATTAATTGAATTGGCTGTAAAATAATGGATTATTAATTAATCATTTGTAATTGATACATGAGTGTTTTATGCGGGACTAAATTAACTTATTTCTATACACATAAAGGAACCTCTCTCAAAGGGTAGGAATAGTGCAGTGCCTGTTGCAAACCTGCACATGTACACTACAGTGACTAATAAAATGTTCTTAACACTTTGTGGACTGCGCACGCATTAATAAGTTTTTCACTTTTAAATGTGGCGGACCGGTCGTGTATTAATACGTTTTTACAACAGGATAAATTGCAACACACTGTACATCACTCTGACGCCACCCAGCTTGCACGTAGCTGCATGATAAGCCTCTGGAATGTTTGCTGACTAATCGGTTATGTGACAATGCTATAATTGTATGCCCCTGCAAAGGAAAATTAATGCCTTTATTTCTTCAAGCTGTACGTAGCATGCTGTCAGTGAGCAGAGCAATATGCGAACATATAATCCTGGGAAACTTACAAAGTATGGCCTACTTGTTCGTGTAGTTACTGAAAGCACTTCAGGCTATATTATAAATTTAGAAATTTATTCTGGTGAAGGAAAGAAATTACAAGAGACTATTGTTTCCGTTTTGGAATCCTTTCTTGATCAAAATTAACATGTCTATCAAGACAATTATTATAACAGTGTGGCAACTGCAGAACACATACTTTTGAGAAAAGTACGTGTTTGTGGAACAATTAGGGTGAGCAGAGGCCTTCCTCCAGATCTGAAAGAGGAATCTAAATCCCTGAAACGTGGTGAAACCACATTCAGGAGGAAGGGGGATAATCTTCTTCAGTCCTGGAGGGATACTCATGTTGTGAATATGATTTCCACAATTCACAATTCGAGCATGATTGATGTCCAAAGGAGACATGGACAGGTAAAGAAGCCTGTTTGTATTTCTGAGTATAATACGAAGGGGGACCCAAAAATAACTGGAAACGACCTGTTGCGCGCGCATGCTTTGTAGTTACGAGTTGNAATTTCACGCACACTCTTTGTTCCTTCTGGTCGGCCATCTCACTAATCGCCAAAGGGTTGAAAGAGGAACGCACACAACAGAGCACCACAGACAAACCACTTAACTCAGACTGACGCCAGCTCACTAACAGTCGCGGGAGACCCCCAGCTAACACCACCTAGCAGCACAACTCGTAACTACAAAGCATGCGCGCACAACAGGTCGTTTCCGGTTATTTTTGGGTCCCCCCTCGTATGTTCATGAAGGGAGTTGATAGAGCTAATCAGTACTTGGCCTATTATTCTGCTCCTCGGAAAACAGTAAAGTGGACAAAGAAAGTTGCCTTGTGGCTTATAAATTGTGCCATTTTCAATTCATTTTTGGTTTTCAAAAATCTAAACCCTCATTCAACGTTGAAATACAAGGCATTTCTGCTGAATGTGGCAAAAGCCTGGACTACAGACACAGTCTTAGTACGACCAGGCTCGTCTACTCCCACCCCACGCAGGCCTCATGTGGACACCCCTGGGCGACTCTCGGGTGATATGCAGAAACATACCCTCGTGAAAATTGTGAAGAGTGAACATTCCGAGGGGAAGCATCCTTCTAGGCAATGCTGTGTTTGTGCAATTCACAAAAAAGAGACTATGTCTATATTTGCAAGTGTGTAATGCCACTTCACAAAGGGGAATGTTTCCAGAAATATCACACTCTCAAGCACTTCTAGGAGCATTGGTAAGTGTTCTCCAAAAATTTTAGTTCATAAAATTAATTAGGAGATTTTACATTAATTTTTAAAGTGAACAGTGCACAAGTTAGGGTAGCAGGTATAAAAATGCCGGTCCCCAGGTGATTTAAATATTTAAATTGCCGGTCTGCAAAGTGTTAATAGACTGAAAAGAGTTGTTTGTAATTAATGCTGAGGCCTTTACTAATTTATCTTTAATCAAAGAGTATGGCTTTCTGGGTTGTAGTGCCATGTAATCTGGAGAGAGACCAATGTTTTGGAGGAACATATCTCCATCTTCATAGTAGAAGAGTAAGCCAAGCAAGATGATAGCAGGAACAACAGGCACTTTCATTGGTTTCATGGTTGGTTTACTGTTTGATCCTGAAAACAGAGATGACACGTTCTTCCGAGCTACACGGCATTGCAACCCAGAAGACTTTTCTCTTTGTAGACACCACTGTGAGGACCTCAAAACCAGTTCAGCTTTTTTCAACTGAACGTGATACATGAGTCTATGAGTCCAAGTAAAATCTGTGTCCATCCATTTCCATCACCATTAAAGGAGCAGGAGATATGAATATGCTACTCACTAATGCATATTTTAATCTAATCTTTTAGGAGCATAAGTCAAATTTACCGGCTGTGCTGCACAGTCCTAAAAATGTTTTTAAAGCGATCGATAATCTGGCATATGAAGGAAGCAGTCAGGTTGTTCGCAGTCCATCCAGCCCTCCGACAAGTCCCAGCAAACGGAGGTTTCTTCAGTTTTACAAGGTATTTAACAGTAAATAAATAAAGCAAGTTTTCAATATTATATTTAAGCATCCTGTTACACTCTATACAATATATGATATAAATTCTGTCCTAAGTGTAACAATTTATTGTAGGTCTTTTGTTTTGCCTTCTTCTACACTACATGTTTCGGCCGCAAACGGCCATCATCAGGTGTATACACTCACGTAGCTGTTACACTGCACCCAGTTTAAAATTTAAAAAACACAGGTCTTCCCAATTGGCTAACAGGATCTACTTCGCTGATTTTTGTCTGTACATCATCTTTGTCACCCACACACATCAATTTTGACATTCATGAACTGGCACTTTTAAAATCTTCAGTTCCGATTTAGAAAACTGATGATGGCCGTTTGCGGCCGAAACATGTAGTGTAGAAGAAGGCAAAACAAAAGACCTACAATAAATTGTTACATTTAGGACAGAATTTATATCATATATCTAGTTTTCAACATTGGACATTCAATTTGGGACCTTACTTATGCAAGAAGATTGTCTGAGGGCCTGCTGCAAATTGTTCAAAGATCCAACAGAAGAGACTTTTCCTGAATGTTTTAGACCACAAATTTATCATTTCCTAGCATCATAAATTTGTTAATAATGATGACAGAGGTTTCATTGAATGAATAAACAGTTTGTTTACACAAATTTTCAAGCACATAAAACATTTAACTTGTGATACTATATGATATGTCTATATTTAATTGGGGCCAGATTCCAGAGTTCTCTGGGATTATGCGTTGGTGCTTCTAAACGAATGAAAAAGTTTAAAGAGGCTACATTGTGTCTAAATGAACTTTGAGGTATTCATCAAATAGTAATGAAGATCATTAAGTGGTCATTAGAAATTTAATACATTCTATTTTCCACATAATGGGAACCGTAATTACCATACCATACAGCCCTACTCAAAGTGTGATATTCTGTCAGAGATATTTTAGACATTGTATACTAATCTTCAATCAGTTTAGTAAAGGGTGAGCATGGTAACTAACCTGTGGATTTGCGCAATATTTTGAGTAACTGGAGAAAATTACTTTCATGAATTAAATAAATATATGCAGGGTTAATGTAATTAGGCTGGCTGCTGTTCCTAATATTTATGAAGTTGAAACTGATACTAAGAAGGCAAACAGGTAAAGATCTGCAATTATTTATGGAAAATTATTGCCATTGTTGTCAGAAAAGTATGTGTAAGTTCATGTCTCATGACTACAATACAGGACAAAATGTGATTAACAACAGTTAATATTTCTTTTGAAAATTTTTGCAGACTTCAAATACTTGGGAACGGTAGTTACAAGTCAAATTGGTATTCATGACCAGGTTAACCTTTTCCTATTCTTTTTATTTTGAATCTTGCTCCCAGTACCTCTAGGTTCACGTGTGCAGTGACTAGAAAGAGACATTTTAGCATGAGAACATGCAGAGGTCTTGTTATCTCGTGTTCCTACATCTAAACTACTAAAGGAAATATAGGCTTTGAGTTTCTCACAGCAGTAGTTATGAAGGTTACTACTTTCTGGGATATAATACTGTGTAATCCGTTGAAAGTCCACTGACGTTTCAGAGGAACATATCACATCCATCTTCAAGGTTCGAAGAATAAGCCAAGCAAGAAACTAGGGTGAAAGCAGGTGGCAAGCAGAGACAAATCAGACAGTAGGACTCTGGACATCTCGAAGAGTGTAAAGAGCAAAGATGTAATAACATGCAGTCATAATTTTGTGGGGAATTCATAAAGTTTGTGGTAGAAACGCTCTGACAAAAGACAGAAAAGAATGAAAGGTAGGCTCAGTTTGGAGCGTTTTCTGCAGTTCAGCTCAGAATCAAATGAGATGATGTCTACCGTTTATGGGGAATTGGGATTGCCTGTAACACTCGGATGGAAAACCTCAGGGAAAGAGATTACTTGGGAAACCTGAATGCAGATGGGAGGTTAATAATCAAATGGATCATAGAGATATAGGACATGTCAGAACTGGATTAAAATGCAGTGGTGGGCTTTGTGATCACGATGATAAACCTTCGGGTTCCCTACCTGCAGGGCATTTCTTATTTGATGCTGACTTATTTAATGACACCAATTTCATGTATCATGTAGTACAATAAATAAGGATGACTATGAGTCGCAGATTGGGAAGGATATATCATGAAGTAATTGTGGCCTTTTTTAAGGTCGTGTTCCAGAACTTGTCTGGAGGGACTGATGAAAACCATACAGAACCTCTCAATGGTAGACCTGTATTTGAAATTGTGCCATTAAATAGCATAAAAATCAGTCATTTACTAACTATCCACTCTGTAAGCAGAAGATGGGTTATGTTTCTGGTGTAAATATTTATGTCATCCACTGCTAGGTAATGGCAAAATAAACACATATAGTGATATCGTGAAAATGAATACGCACTCAACAATAGTGGAGACTGCTGGGAATAATGTTTTCTGCCCATCTGTCCTGAGGCTATGCAATGAGGGCTGGAGGGACCAATGGAGAGAACAGAAATCATAGTCATGTGTCTCAAGGAGAAAACTGGCGAAGGCCAGCAACATTCAAACTGACTGACTGAATTGTGGATTTGGCTGAGATGTGGAGTTGAGTTAGTGAGAGAGGGGGGGGGGAGTGAACAGCAGTAGTCAGACCCCTCCTGTCATTGAATGGGAGGCCCAATTTCAAAACACATAGAAATCTCGGAAAGAATAAAAACATGATCATGGGTCCTGACGGGACTTGAAACCAAGAATTACTGTGCTGATGAAAGCCAGCAGCAATTTAAACTTCCGACCGAATGGTAGGTTGAGAGAGTCACTCCCCCGTAGAGGGGGAATGACCAGTAGTAGTCAGCCCCTCTCCTTGTTGAAGAGCAGGCCCCATTTCAAAATGTAAAAGTCTGGAAACAACAAAAATATGGGCATGGGTCCCAATGGGGCTCGAAACCCAAATAACTATGCTGGCAAGGGCTAGACTAAATTGTAAGCCAGGTGTTTTCCAGTGAGGACATAAGCACTGAAGCAAAAGAACCTTCATGGTTAGCAGCAGTAACCTAGTGACGCTATGTGAAGAGTGTTACAAAGTGACAAATAGTAATGACATAACAGACTGAAAATTAGCGTGTGCTGTAGTGATTTATAAAACATTTACATTAGTGAGGCCGTTGTAACTATGTGTAGTTATGATATATACATGTTCTATAAATCCTATTACTGATCCAAATCCTGTGCGTAGTCATTAACACATGATGGAATCATGCATCCCATCCTTTGGTCATGATATTTTAGTGTATCTGCAGGCTTATTATTATTGTTATTATTATTGGAGGGGGTGGGTTTCCCTATGCACCGGGACCAGTGGTCTATTGTACGTCCCCCTTGATATTCTACCAGTCTCTATACCCTACCGATACTGGTGCGTGCCATCAGTCCCGACTCAGCCAGCGAGTTCAGCCTCTACTGGCTCAGCGGTATCTAGATACTTCCCCCATCTACCAGAGGCGTTACAGACTATTGTTGGGCGGGAAATGTCCTTTATAATTTGGCTCAGAGGCCTCCTTGAGGCATGAGGTTTTTTTACATGCCGTAAAGCTACGACACGGGACCCACGGCTTAAAGTCCCTCCCGGAGGACTTGTTCCCTGAATTTTTCCGCCCTTAAAAATTCCATGACCTCCGTTGGGTTTGAACCCGCGTACCTTGAGTCATGAGGTGGGAACGTTACCCCTAGACTACGGAGGCCGCTCAGTTGCAGGCTTAATCTTTCAGAGTAAATAATATCTTTTATATCTTCCTTTTCTACCTTAATTTCCTTTCCTTTTTTCTCCTCTATTCCTTTCCTATTCTTTCGATTTATTTGTCCTATTATCATTACTTTTCCTCTCACACACTTTATATCAAAACAGTTTTGGTATCACTCAAAACATGTGACAACAACAATGACAAATATCAGTCTACATACTGTGTTGGTAAGTATGTAAACCCTCACTGATCTGCATTAATGTGGGGGAGGGGATCATGATTACCCTATAATCTGGATTAATAAAGCAAAAGATACCCCTAAAAGGCAAAAGAATACTTAGAAACCACATAAATGGAAAATTTAATAACATAAGTAGTGCTGATGAAACTAAAAAAAAAAAATCACTGCAACAATTTTTTCCCTTCAGAAGCCGAAATCCGGGGTCTCCTTCATCCAGCTCAAGCCAATCCTTGATATTTTATTTTGTTTCAGTCTCCAGCTACCCTCAACACATTCTGAGAGTCCTCTTGCTCTAATCCATCTCGCTCCCTTCAGAAGCCGAAATCCAGGGTCTCCTTCATCCAGCTCATGCCAATCCTGGATATTTTCTTTTGTTTCAGTCTCCAGCTACCCTCAACACAGTCTGAGAGTCCTCTTGCTCTAATCCATCTCGCTCCTAAATTCCATGTCTTTTAAAGCACATACTCAACTGTGAACAGAATTTATCTTTTTTCATATTTTAATCCAGATTAACTGGAACTAGGTTAGTGAGGGTTTACTGGATGTACATAATGTTATAAAACGGTGGATCAAGGTTACCTGACAGTTACCATAATCTGTTAGACAATCAGTGTAGCTATGTCATCTGTGAATGCAAACACTCAAATATATGAGGGTTGGGACTTTAATAGTGGCAACACTGCTGTAGAGACGCCATGCAACGGAACCAAATAATGTCGCTTATACCACACGTTAGTTACATACCTACCTTACCTCAGAGCAAATGGACTCTTCCTTCCCACATCACACACATGTGCAGTAATGAGAAGAGCAGAGACTCGTGTTAGCTGGCGGTCTAATGTAGTGTTGTCACGATGTTTTTGAAGCAGGAACAACAGAGTTGGATAAAGATTGAATGTGCCAGAGACCGTACAGCACGACAGTGTCATCAAGGTCTTCAAGAGGCTTGCGGGGAATCTGCGTTGCCTTACAGAACAGTGGCAAGGTGGGTAAAAGCCTTCAATGAGGGACGCCAAAATGTGGCAGACATGTGTCAGCCAGGTCGTCCTAGTGTCAGTGAAGAAGAAGTGTATGCTCTTTCTGCGTTACTGGAGAGTGATCAACGCCATACGATTTGTGAGCTGGCCCAAGAGACAGGATTAGCACATATGACTGTGCTTCACATTCTGAAGGAACGCCTGGGTATGAGAAAAATTGCATCATGATGGGTTCGGCATGATTTGACGGAAATGCAGAAATGGCTACAATACGACACTGTTTGTAACCACTTGGAGCGCGACTGAGAGGCTTTCTTACGCCGTATCATTTCGCTGGATGAGACATGGGCCAAATCGTACGAGCCACAAATGAAACGACAATCGAACGAATGGCGTCATTATGGGTCACCACCAAAATCAAAAGTTCGTCAGAACCACAGCAATATGAAAGTTATGGTTATTCTCGTGTACAACTGTGATGGTGTTATCCTAACGCATACCGTTCCCTGACAGCAGACCGTCAATATGCAGTATTACTGTTCATTTTTGGAACACAACCTGCGATCAGCTTTGAGAAAGAAGCGGCAACACTTTCTGCAGAACCCACCCATCATTTTGCAGGACAATGCTCGGCCGCATGCAGCGCAAGCTGTGGCCAATTTGTTCAATCGATGGGACTGGGAAGCGGTGCACCATCCACCATACTCCCCGGACTTAAGCCCTTGTGGCTTCAACTTGATTCCTACGATGAAGGAAAAACTTCATGGCATTCGCTTCAGAACTTCCAGAGATTCTTCATGCAGTAGACTGCTCCTTTTGAACTATCAACACAACAGGCGCCGCTAAAGTTATCCTATGACTTCCATGTCGCTGGCAACGGGTTGTACATGATGCTGGTGACTACATTGAAGGACAGTAAAACTTTGAAACATGCATCTATTTTGTATCAGTTGTAAATAAATAGTTGCCACTACTGAAGTTCCAACCCTCATACATCACCCTGGTCTTTGTGGATAATGCGAGCTTCTGCTAAAATGAAAAATTGCTGTGCAGTGTGATTCAAACCCAGGTCTGTAACTGAATCTGAAGTTTATTTCAAGAAATTCTTCATTTTTTGAACCTGAACATGATCAATGAATTTCTCTTCTCTAATTTCAGGCAGCACAGAAACTTGAAAGTGGCAAGATGTTAGCTCCTTGCCCTAGGTGCTCTCTACCATCTCAGATCGATGTAGTTTCACATGTGGGTCAGTGTACTCATAAAAATTGTCAGTATTTATTTTGCTCCACTTGTCACCGTGACATCCATATCGGTAGTTCCTGTCCGTTTCCACAATCCAGGAAACGTCCTAGCTGTATCGGCAGTAAAGCCAGCAAGAAAAATCTGCGCAGACTATGAGTGACATGGATTTATGTAATGACCTGTCTCTAGATAATGCCCAGTGTTATGCTTCCTGTAGCAGTATTAATGGTCTGTCACACCTTGGTGATTATACACTATATGGGCGGCGACCTCACTGTCCGCCCATAGGTGATGTATACGGTGCACACAGTGGCATGGGATATCGTTTCATTTGAACTGTCTCATGCAGTATTTATTATCAAGCTGATAGGCGAGCGTAATCTGGAATCATACAAACATCACTTCAAGCACTGTATGTATGACATTTTCCTTAATAAGTAAGAAAATGATACATGTATATTTTGAAAGCTGGTTATGTGTAATTTTACTATGTGATTGTGTCAAACATTATTTTTATTGTTACTCTGAGCAGTCATACATACAGAGGCTTGTCATTATACTGCCTCATTGCTGAGAATTTCATGTTTGGTAATGAGGGTAGTTCTGATTTTAAACACTAATTTTGTTGCTCATATGATTTTCCTGTATGTGATAATTATATTTTAAAGATCTGAACTTTATTATGTTCCTAATATATTATTTGTTTTAATTATTAGCTTATTTCTAGTTTCTGGTTTGCCATCAAAACTGCTTACTGAACAGATGTAAGTCATAAGTCTTTCTTCCTGTACTAATTATCTTTTTTATACAGTAAGTGACTTATTTCAAGTTTTCCACACTTATATGGGTCATCATCTCTGCACCTGTTTCTATATTTTCTCCTGCTGCAGTTTATATACTCTTTTACTAATACAGTGTTCTTTTCTTAATTATGTCATATATTATCAACATTTATCAGTCAACACAGTTATCGGTCCTTGTAAGATTTCAGGTTCTCACAGCTGTCGTTGTGAAGAGCGCTCTCTTCTGGGATATAGCGCTGTGCAGTTTGTTGAAACTAAACTCAGATGGAATTCCTCCGAAACGTTGGTTGACTTTCAATGGACTATATGATGATATATCCCAGAAGACAGTATCCTTGTTAGTACTCATTTACCTTCACATCTGTCATATTGCCAAGTTTTACGGTTAAACAGTAATTTCTACAACTACTTCCCTTTGTAAGCTAAATTTTAAAAATTCTTACACATTTTATCACAAACACTTTTATGTACAGAAATTTATATATCCTATAAATTCCCTCTTATTTTGTGCCACCAACTTGTCTTTGATGACCTCTTTTGTACATACCATTTCCTTCATGTTCTGCTTCCAAAGAATGTGAGATTTGAGGTTCTCATGACAATGAATGTAAGGATCTTAATATTCATGGGAAAGAACTCTCTTAACCTCCATTTGGAATATTTACCTCCTTATGTAGGAGCATGCTGTAGTGTAGTTGGTTGAGGCACTATGCTACAAGGCGGAAGGTTGTGGTTTCAACTCCTGATGAGGTCCTTCCAGCTGCACTATGGCCCTGGAGTCGACTCAGCCTCTAACAGAAATGAGTACCAGGAATCTTCCTGGGGGTAAAGGGCAGCCAACCAATGCATAAGGCTTACAACCTCACCGCCATCTGTGAGTTGATTCCCTAGAAAATATGCGAGGTTTGATGTCTCACAACCTTATGGACCTCCACGGCCTGTTACAGGGACAGCTTTACCTTTTATTTTCTTATGTCTGCATGTTTGTGAACTAAGGATCTACGGGTCTTAATGTGTTGAGGTGTCTTGTGCTTCTGTTCTGAAGTTCAGCCAGCTGACACATTTAAGGCTAGTGTGATTAAACATTGCTTTTGCTAATGGCGATGTAAGGTGGTTTATACAATCAATCAATATTCAGATAGAATTTTTATTTTCCTGTATGGGCATTATATGTTGAACCAAGCTACAACATACAACATCCATACAGGAAGGACTCGCATATCAATGATAGCAATGTGTTTACGCAGTGATGTACGCTGAATGAATATCAACAATCCATAACAGCCCATGTAATAATAACTTTGGGCATAACAACTTCCACTCTAACGAGACGCTCAACAACGTGGCTTTACACAATTATTACACAACACAAAAATTATGAATGAGGAAATTTTTAACATAATGTTCCATGATCTGAACAATTGTTCTAATAACTTTAATATTTTGGGTTTTAATTGTGTAACTTTCAATTTCATTCCCAAGACCTTATTTCATAATATAACATTTTACCAACATAACGTTCGCCTTCGATAAACATCACTTGCAAAAGATATTTAATATGTTATTACTTTTAATATATCTTTAATTTAATCATAATACAATTCTTTGTACATATATAATGTTAATATTGTAATTTCCTATATTCTAATTTAGACTTAATTTTGTAATATGAACATGTTGTACTAAATATGGATTCATGTTTGGGAATTGAAATAACTTTTGTCATTCAATCATAATTGCTGCCTGATGATGGTTCCATGAGGACCGAAACATGTAGTGGCAGGAAAATATCAATTTTATCTGAGGATTGATTGTATAACGTTTGTTGTGTTGACAGAAACCTTACCTTGCCATCTGTTTAAGACACAACAGGATGCACACTGTGAAAAAAATTTATAATGCTACCAGCAGAATAAAAAATATGAAACGTGGAGCCGGAAATGAACAACGCTTTATCAAAAGGCAAACGTCAAAGTATAATCAGATTCAGAATGTTACAGTGTTTTACATTTCCTGAACTTGTATAGTGTAAGTAGAGAAATGACAATTAATTCTCTGTAAATATGATGATTTATGTTAGCCATTGTGAACAAATGCTTTATAAATTCAACCTTCTCATGGAAATTAGAAATTATGTCTTGGATTTGTATTTATTTTCTTGAAATAGTTTGCAAAAACAGCAAATTAAATTCTTTGAAGCCTGCACATTCCATGGGAGGGTTTTCAGATACATATTTAAATTTGTGATTTCCATTTTAAATTAGTTGCCTTGTTTAAGTTAAAAATTTTTATTGGGGGGGGGGAGTCGAGAATCAAGTGCCTTAAGCGGTATTTGGTGAAATGGTAATACCATGGAGCCCCCCTTCCCCAAGGCAAAGTGATGACAGCTTTTATTTGGAAGGCAGATCTTGTTGATAAGATATATTTACACAATATGAAACTTAATAACAGTTTACCATATGCTGTTCCCTTGTGGAAGAAAGCTTTCTATGGAACTGCACATTTCATGTTGAAATGTTTTAGGAATCATTGGCTAGTTTTGTAAGGTTTCACAAGTATTATGAGTTCTGGTGGCAGAACATGATATTAATCAATGTTAAACATAGGGAATAAATTTGGTATTATTGAGCACAAAACTGATAATTGATCTGTGTTATTTGCTCAGTTTATCAGGAATAAACTTCTGTTCTTTGTTAGAAGATTTTCCTCCTGTTGCCTCTCTTAGCATAACTACTTATCCAGACAAGTTACTGCTCAAGTCCGTTATGAAATAGTGTGTACCTGAATTGTGATTATTGTAATTTTTTAGGTCACTATTATGTGTTTTAAGTACAGCAATACCTTGCATAGTTCGGTTAATTGGTTCCGCCAATATCCCAGACTGTTTGAAACTGGACTAATCGAGGAACTAAATACATACAAAAAATTATAATTGGTTAAAAAAAATCCATTTTTCAATAAATAAAATGCGATTAATAAACTCAAATATCTATTAGAAATAATTTAAAAAATCATGTTTTTTGCAATTCATTTTTATTCTCTAAATTTGCAATATTGATGTCTGCACATTTTTCTTCTTTGGCCTTTTCTCTTCATACATTTCTTTGTAGCAACGAATTGCATTGTTTATCGTTCAGTGAATTGTAAGGCTATGTTCAATACTGGGATCAACTTCCATAATATGGTCTGACAAGGTTTCAACCACTCCAATAATTTTTGATAGTTGTTCAGCTGTTAATTCTTGTGCAGGCACTTTGACACAGTCATCGTTGTTTAAGTTGTCCTCCCGTTCTTCATAAGCCCATGGTTCATCTATGTTAATAAGTGTTTCATTATCTAGTTCATTAGTGTTTGATTTGATGCACTCAATTACGTTGACAGAATCTAACTCACTGAAACCAAGTTGCTGTCCAATTTCCACTGTTATCAGTGACTTCAGCAAAATGAGTTTCAAAACCAATGAAATCATTTGCACAATGTGGTATGATATGTTTCCATACTGCCCTCATATTGCTTGCCGTTAATTCATGCCATGCTTCGCCTATATTTTTGATAACGTTTCTGATATTGTAGCTCTTCCAAAATTCCATTAATGTAGTGCTCTCCCCACCTCCTCCAGCGATAGTTGTCAGACCTGAAGAACGAACGAACGACCCGAGCATATACAACAGGGAACCCCAGAAAAAATTGAAATATGTATTGTATCGCGTAACTTGAAAACGACATAAAAATAAACCGTACATAAAGAGACTTGATTGTATAAAGGTAAAAGAAAAAAACTATCATTTTTGTATTAAAAATAATTTTGTGTACTAATTTTTTAGAATTTATTTTTATTTTGCTCAATTAAAATTTAGTGTGTTTTGAAATTTTCAATCCGGACTGATAGAAGCCAGATTATGCGAGGTATTGCTGTATTACATTTTCATGCTTTATGAAATGCCTTTCCTTGTGTATGAAACTTGCCAATGTGAAGGAAACTTGCCCTATTCAACACAAGGAGCCAAATAAAAGCATTTACAGTAAAAAAAGAATTTGTTGTTTTATTGAGAAATTAACCAGTCCATTGCAATTCTAATTTTCTTCCTTGAAGAGACAGTACAGTACAAGTTTCCTGTTTCAAATTAATCTGTCAAGAACACCGAAGCTATAGAAGAGTTCAAAGTTCATGAAACTTTCTACACTTGAAGTAAATCACCATTTTGTTTTACAATGTGCATATGCAAAGTTGCCCTCCTCCCCTTACACACACTGGCGACTTTATGGGTATGCAACATAAACACACAGATTCACAGGCCTGAAACAATACAGTTGTTGCCTGTGGCAATACAGTTCCCTGACTGGTGCTGCAGTATTCATATTTTGAGGTACTGAAATGAACTACTGCCATTTAAGTATAGTTCTCTCTCTTACCAACACATGGCAGGGGTCAGCAAGTCCAGTCACTGACAGTTCATGAGTAGGAGCTCAGTTTTTAACTGCTGTCACAGAGCAAAGAGTGAATATTGAATTTTGTGTTAAGCTGGGTAAAACACCAACATAAATGTATTAAATGTTGTGAACTGTTTATGGTGACGAAGCCTCAAGTCTCAGCAGTGTATCTGAATGGTTTAAATGACTTAAAGAAGGGCATGAAGATCTTTGGAGGATCCAAGAAGTGCGTGTCCTTCAATTCTGAAATTTCTGGGGATTAGCTAACCTGTTAACATAAAAAATTCTCTCTGTCCTTAATTAAGAATCACCATGAAAATGTATGTGAGAGTGCAAATATAGATTCACCATTCTTGACCCTGGCACCTGGTGCAGGAGCCCAGAGACAGGGACTAACTCTATTGATTGGGCCCAACTGAGTAGTTTTACTGAAGAAGACAGAATCCAGTCTCAGAAATGCTGTTTTAAATAAAGACATGGTGGTGTTTTAAATAAAAACAGGATGGATAATGCCCAGAAACAATATTTGTATTTGAGTCTCCACTTTCTCTAATAGTCCCAGCCTCCACCATGCTCTCAAAGAATTGACCAAATTTACCAATCAAACAAAGGGTGTGACTCGAGCTTATATATTTTGGTTTATTTATTTAGATAGGACAGAATGAAGTAAGTTGATTGGTGATATGCTACACTATAGTTACTATGCTAACAATGGTGCATCACTGTCAGTAATGCAGACCATTATGTCATCATTATAAATTTATTAGATTATAGTTTCAAAATATATCCAGTACTCATGTCAGTAGGAAATTCAAACATACTTACACAGCACTTTCTTGATCCCGGGTCTGGGCAAGTGGGATTTGTGGTGGACAAAGTGGTGCTGGGACGGGTTTTCTTCAAGTACTTCAGTTTCCCCTGCCAATCTTCATTCCACCAATTGCTCCACAATCACCCTCACCTATCATCTGGGGCTGGTACAATAGGTCAGAAGTGGCCGCAGTACAAGGGACTTAGTCCCACCCCACCAACAATAAAAAAATAATACACAGCACTTTTCTTATGTAAGACTGAGTACGCATGGTATGACGTACTCTGCTTGTAAAGTAGACAGACTACACTGATGCAGATGTGTGCACAGCGACGTGGCAGATGTTAAATGTGATATTTTGGATGCATGGAAAATGCAGGTTGGATGATGCATTTAAATGTAAAAATTGGCTAAACTGTTTTATGAATTT